TTTTATTTAAGCAGCAAAATAGGTAGCTGGATTTGGAAGATTTATGCTCAGGTGCGCCGATCCAGTGTTCTTAGTCATTGAGCAGTTGGAAGTACAGACCCACAGGCTGCACATAGCGCTGATGGCTTTCGATAGAAATAAAGAATACCTTGCTGTTACCATCAAGCCTTGAAACTGACTTTCAGCTAATGACCCAAATAATCTTTACTTGAAATTGTATAATTGAGATCGAAGGCTGTCTGGGGCTTCTAGCTGGTACACAGATTCCACATCCATGAGCTTTTGAGTATGGTCATTGAGCTGAAATGGAGAAGGTTAAAACTCTCATTTTCATTATGGAGCTCCCCCCATCTCCCAATACAAATGTGACATTTCAATTTTACACAGTCCAGCTCTTCTTAAATCATCTGTATAAAAACTTCAGATCTTGATTGATGATGGATGAGCTATTGTCTCCTAAAGTACCCCGTTCCCATTACCCTTTAAGACATAGCTTATTAATGATGGACCTGAAGTGCTTTCCCAGTGGGTCATCAGCAATCAACTGTGCTAAGAGATCAGAAGACTTGGTTTGGCATGAAATTTCCAGGCCAAAGCCATTTTTGGATAATGCATTCAGCACCTTGGGTGAAATATGATGGTGTTTTGTGAGTGCTACCGTCTCTGACGACAGATGCCCATCACCTGGGTGACGATGGCAAAGGCACAGCACCGTCAGCAGGCAAAGGCGCTTCAGCGCGAATGGAGGCTGACCTTGGAAACTGAAGTATCATCAGTATGTGTTGTGTAATATGTACACGCAGGGTATACCTCCGTACGGTATAGTGTAAAAGACAGCTGTTTCTTTAGCAGACAAGCTAGCTTGGAAGGTATAAGGTATGTTCTTTTTTGCTTTTGAAGTGGTTACAGTGGACATGCCCAGTAGTTTTTCCTAATTAACTCCTTCCTCTTTCTTTGCCACCTTTGGAGCTAGTTCTTCTCCCTCTCGCTATGCCTTCTTCCTTCTTTCCCTTCGCTATGCCAGCTGGTTTCGTAGCACCAGAGAAGAGCTTTTAATTTGCAACCTTGAAGAGCAGTTGCAATTTTATAACCAATTTTATAACCAGATTCTATTGCTATATAGGTGCCTACATCTTCCACTGTGTATCCACACACTTGAGTTATTTGCACTTCAGGTTGCGTTGCAGAATGTGAACGTGTTTTGCCAATTTAATCCACATTAGAAGTTGGATAACAGACTGTAGGGGATTACACTGTACACAAGAAAAAGTCATTTGAAGAAAATACCCTTTTAACAGCTGGATGAAGAAGATTTCTTTCTCTCTCTGGTCTAACAGACAGCACGCTTGCAGAGCTGGTGTCCCTTTGCCTTATTTACAGTGATCTTCAGTTCTGATGGCTGGTAACACTTTTTCATTGACTCCAGTCAAACTCGCTCAGTTAGGATAGATGTTATGAACTTAGCCCTTTTTTAAACTTAGCAGTCTAAGTAAATATTGTGTCCAATGTACCCGTCTGTGTTCCCTGTTACACTCTATGGAGAGTGTAAGATGCTCATGTTTCATGGTTGCACGAGGCTTGGATGTTTCCATTTCTCCTGTTGGTATCCTAAGTTTTGTATGGTACGTTACCCAGGTTATGTGGAAATGGTTCTGCTTCATCGCTGGCCTAATGGAAGCAAGAAAACAGTGGATATGATGCATAATACCTTTCTGATTTAGCTTCCTGAATAAATAACCATTTAATAGAATTTTAGTAACATGTACGTGTAAGTTCCCCACAATCATTCGTCTTGAATAAACAAAATAATGACAAGTCAGTGGCGAATGCACTTGCTGATTTATTTTCATTTAACTTTGGTTACAAAATCATACTGCTTTTAAGCCAGTAAAATAGTTCTAGTAAGCAAGATGCTGAGATTTTTCATTCACTTCAGAATCAAGTGGCAAAACACCTTGGAGCTACTCCTTCACTCAGAGCACCGGCTACAGCCCTGCTGCCAAAACAGGAGACTGTGGTACTCTTGGAAGTGTCCAACACCTTTGGTAACTGTTTCCTAATGAAAGCTAGTGAGACCCGTGCTTTTGTACAATTCCCTTTTGTAACCGTGTCCCTGAGCAGTGTGGAAGCCCAAGGGTAGTGGCTCCTGCCAGCGTGGCTCGGTCGGTGTCCCGGGCAGCAGTTGATAGAGCCGGGCGCTCTACCTCCTGTCCCAGGCAGCGGTGCTGTAGTTGGGCTAACAATTTTCCAGTGTCACAATAAACTGTTTTAGAAGACAAAAATACTCTCCCAAAAATGATATTTAAATGTTCCACTGTGAGCAGTCCTTTTTAGCCCTGCTTTGGTGGGCGCTGGCTTCTTCCGCTGCACTAGAAATGACACCATTCACTAGGGGGACTTTTCTGCTCCAGCCTCTGAAAGAGTTCAGCAAGAGGCACGTCAGGTGTCGCACGCAGGAGGGAAACCTCTTTTTGCCTGCCTGCCTGTGCTAGCTTTCCTTCCCATCTGCCTAGGCAGAGATGCCTGCCTTTCTCCTCCTGTTTATTGTTTAACTTTATCTCTCACTTTCAGTGCTGTAAATTAAAATGAGATGATGACTTTATGATGATGAGTTCATTATACAGTAACGCTATTGTATATTGATTACATTTGTGCTTCATTTGCTCAACGTGTAACAGGGTTTATTAGGTCTTTGCAGGCATTGTTCTTGCTAAGAGAGGGCAGAGAAGCGCAAAATGCGTTTGAGTTTTAACTCAGTGCAGCCAGTGCTTTGGTGTTGATTTACACATGCCGAGGACTCGGCATGAAGGGAAGTAGGGTAGCAGGTTGGAACGGCAAGCTGGAAAGGGAATTGATCTGGATTCCACAGAGCAGGAAGAGTCAAGCACAAGTACTTTAAAGATTGTACTAAACTTTGAACTTAGGGTTATTTAAAACCCGTAAGAGCCCATCTTCAATATTATTACTGAGGTTTATTAGCACCTCACCGCATGAATAGACCTGTGAACTTTAATCCTGTCATTGGGGAAAATGTACACACGGACAGAGCTACCGCATTACCTTTTGGGGGAAGGGCAGTAGGAACAGGGCTTATTATTCAGTGAGGAGGGAAGTCAGAGCATTTTTCATATTTCCTTTTGGTATATCACAGGGAAAGCTGTCAGCTTTCCTTGAGTTACAGAGGAGACACTTTTTGGGTACTTTTATGCTGAAAAAAGTCTTTAATCACAAATTGAAACTATCAGAATTACTTTTAGAGTGAGATGCTGCCTGCTATACAAGAATGCATCAAAGTTCTTAGCAGAAAAGAAAATTTGATAGGTATTGTCATGAGTGAATGTTCTAAAACCCAGAAAATTATGCCAGTGGCAGGTGCTCAGAGGTACTGATGGTGGCATGACTTGGAATTGTGTGCAAGTGTTTAAGAAACTATGAATGCAGATGTTACAATATTTCATGGCTCCTTAGAAGTTACCTTTAATCCAAATCTAGGCCTTAATGGATTAGATTATCCTGTATAGCTGGGGCAACACAGAGAAGTCATCACTAGTGTTTTTCTAGGTCCTACCTTTTCCCCAGAGCAGAATTACTAACAGATGCTGTATGGGTTTTTTCAGGGATCATAAGAATATCATACAGACAGATCATTGCTATATCTCTAATCTGGACTCTTTTCTGTATAAGATTATTGTTATTGTTTTCATTTTTAAGCCCTTTTTCAATGAAAAGCCAAGCTTTTAAACCAGAGGTTTCTAAGAAATAATAATACTCTGAACTGATTAATATGGTGGAAGGATGTATTTACAGATGATCCTTTATTTAATATATTCTTTTTTTGGGAGCTACCTCCTCTACATGCTGTGGCCTGTAAACTCTGATGTTTTTTAAAAAAATATGCAGTAATTCCTTCCTTGTTGTTTGTCAGCATTAGCATTTCCACTACAGTTTTTAAAGGTTTTTCTGGGAGATGAGGACTATCAGATGACCTTAATCATTGCTACCGTAGTCCACATTTGCTCTTAATGCCTCTGTGAGCAGTGTGACACTCCTGGCTGTATGGCAGCACTTAACGTCATTCTGAGGTGCCATTAGTAACTAACCTTCAACATTTCTTTGCCGAGGCTTGAATCTCTGACATTAAGTGATGCAGGAGGTTTTAGCTGCATAGCTCCTGTTAACTTTAATGAAAGTCACATGGGTTGTTCTCTGCTTTGGAAGTAGCAGATCCAGGTTAAGTAGAGAAATTGTGCATTTGAGCAAGAGTTTAAAGAGTGAAAAAACCAAGTTGCTGCTCCAGAGGAAACCCTGGTGCCACAGCCAACAACTCTAAGATCATTTTCATGATGAGCTTTGACAAATCAAGCCTTTAGAGACAGAGCAACAAGCATTTTTATTAAAAAAGCAAACTGATAGAAACATGAAAAATAATTAAAAAAAATACAAACTTTCATTTGCTCAGAAACTCCTCCCTTCAACACCAAGTTTCCAGCAAGTCTGATCAGGGAACATGCCTCTCCAGACATCATGAGGACTGGACCCTTCTAATATACTGTGGGCTCAGAAAATTCCTGCCCCAGCAGAGCATGCTAGTTCATTGTATGTTTCAAGAATTCATATGTATTAATGAAATACAGCATAGTGTGGTTGATTTCATGTGTTTTTTAAAGCCAGTTAAATTCTGAGGGTTATTTTATGCACAAATAACAGTACCATTCCCGTTCCATACTTGATTACACTGGAAGAACAGGTGAACCCAGTAACTCATCAAGCAGCTGTGTGGCTGTCTTCATCAGGTCCTTCTGCATATTGATAGATGATTCCTGTTCACAGATACTGGAAGCTACTTGCCCTCCAGTTTTCAGAGTATTCAGTGAGATTACAGTGAGAATTTTTTGCATTTAAATTTCATACCCTCTCTCTTGAGTACATAGAGCAGCAGTAGATTTAACCAGCTGTATGTCTAAATTCTTACAAGTGTGTTCTCTTGTTCTTTTATGCAGAAATACTGAATGGAGGGGTGTATGTTGGCCAGAACAAATTTCTTTGCTTCGCAGACACCATTCACTGGCAGGATATCGTGCGTAACCCCTGGGCTTCCAACTTCACTTTGGTTCCAACAAATGGCAGCTCCGGATGTAAGTACTGGTTTTATTCTTAGGACTGTCATCCGCCTGGCATGAAACAGTATAAATGTGACCACAGGTTTTCCCTGATCCTCTGTTACAGAGAATTGTATTTTTAAATTTTCCCTGCATTCTTCACTGCATTCTTCAAATTGTGCGCTGCTTCTGGAGACACTTAAGAGCTCTAATCTTAAGAGCACTTGGTCTGTAGAGAGATTTTTTGAACACTGTACGTTTTCTGAATTTTCTTTCACATGATTTCTCTGCATATTCTTTTTTCTGTTCACTGCTAAAGCCACCGTGCTGCCGTGGAAGCACAGACATTATTGTTTGCTTTGCATTTGTTCCTGCTGCTCCAGCTGGTCCTTCAGTCACAGTTATGGTGTCTCTGGCATCGTAATCAGCTGCTAGAGTAATTGTGGTACAAGCTCACAGATATTCTGACTTTGAATGAGAAACAAACTTCAAAGAAATAGTTATCCTGTTGTCTTGTATGTATCCGTGAAGAAAGAAAATTTGCAGAGGATGGGGTCGTCTTCACGATATAGCCAGATTCTCTGGTTTTAGTATGTTTGCTCTATTTTAATGCTCTAAATTTCAAACTTGTAGTATCTATATACTTTGTTTAATTCGTTAGATCCATTTCTCTATTTCTATCCCTAGACTTACTCACTTTCCGTATTACTTTGATGATTCTTGCAGCAATAATGGATTCTAGGGAACGGTGGTGACAGTGATAAAAAGTATTTAGATAAAATATTCTGTAATGTAGTAAAGTGCATTCAGAATGAATACTATCCTATTAAACAGTACCCTCAGGATGTATCAACACTAAAATTTAAGTATAGGCTGGGAAAAAGTTTATGTCTGTTGTCAGAAGTGACACCACAGCAGATGTATTGTTCTGAGCATTCCGGATATAGGGACATGCTGGATTGCTTACTGTGTCTTAAGGTGTCCCTCAAGGATATATAAATGACTGATTGCCTCTTTGGCTTGTGCTTACAGCCAAGAAACAACTTCAGTTCTTCAGTTATATGTTAGGAATTCAGGAGGAAAAAAATAGACTCTGGACAAAGACCATTTGATAAGTCTCCATAATTTCTAAGCAGCAACTTGTTTTTAATCAAGTGCTTTGTGGTATAGGAGATTTCAGGAAAGGCCAACTTGCTTTTGTATATCTCACCTGCTGGAAACCTTTCCTCTTGGAAACCTGACATAGTTGTAATGCAGCCAGCTATCTTATTTGCATATTAAAAAACCTCATCACTGGTGATGATCAGTTCTAAGCAGAACTGTTAAAAACTTTGAAGGTTAGGGAACAGCTGTACCCTTTTATGAGTCATTACTGCAACCAGAAAAAGACTTAGTTACTCTGTTTTGTTCTGTTATTGGGTTTTCTTTTAACCTTTGCCAGTTCTTGCAAGACAAATGCTTCTGAAATTCTAAGGTAATAAGATCTTTTAAAAAAGCAACCAACATCAATACTATCTTTTTGAGCTAGTGCAAGTTTTACTTGTGACTCCAGAGGAATCAGAACAAGATCAATGCTGAGTACGTTTGGAATCACACACTGAAAGTAATAAAGGCAAATATTAGCTCCCACGGCAAGATGAAGGAATGTATGTACCTAAGTCTGGTTTTCTTCAAACCTTTTTTCATTCCTTTTGAGTTGTGCTTTGTCATTTGTGCTTGATAAACCTGATAAACAGCATTATTTCAAGGATGATTGAACGCTGTGTACCAAGGCAGCTTCAGTAAGATAGCCACACAAATTTTGCTTTATTTTTCCTTACCTGAGGTGGAGCAGAGTGCAGTTGGACTGTATTTAATTTAATAAACATAAGTTTCCTTCTCCAGGAAACTGGATTCCATCTCACGGCTATTCATGAATCCTGTGAAATTTGATTAAATTAGCTTAATCCAAGCCATTTCTTTCTTTGCAACTTATGTAGGTAGAAGTCTAACCCCTGCCAACAAATGGCTAAGATAGTTTGACAAAGATGTTAAGGCTTCAGGAAATAAAGAATTCAGGCACAGAAATCATTTAAAATATCCTAAAATGAAATAGCTGTCCATGTCTGCATGCCTATGTATTACACACGTGCATGCACACACAGGTATGTGTGTATAGAGATAGATATAGATATATAGATATATACATAGGGAAGCCTTCCAATGAAATCGCTCAAATGTGGAACCTTATTACTACCTGTCAAGATGTAGGAGAAAGGGAATGTGCTATACTGGTAGTTTACAAAAGAATTAAGACAAGTTATTTGTACTGGTACAGAAAGGACTCGGAGAAATGAACATTGAATTATAACCCTAGAATGGAAATCAGTATAGAGTATCATTAAATAAGGTATATGCTTCTCAAATTTGGCTCACATGTCGTTTTTCATAATCTGCTAGGCTGTGTGGGTGCTCACTGGGCCCAGCCTGCTGTTTTTCCACTGTTACAAATGATATTCAGTGCAATACAAAGTCTTTGCTACTTTTCTGCATAGATTGTGACTCATGCTTTTTTTTTATCCAGCATGTATATGTATTTACTGTTTATTTTACATGCCTATTAAACTGCCCGAAGTCTCAGGTGCCTCCGATCAAATGCAAATCTTGCCTAAGTCCATTAGAACTGATTACACCTTGCTTGGCATTACTGAGAGTATCCAAAGTGCAGGAGATGTCAAAACGAAGCCCTCTGGGACTTTCCCTGACAGAATACCTTGAAAAGAATGAGTGGGTTTTACTGCTCATCCCCTTATAGGGGAGGGAGAAGGGCTGTCAGAGAGGCTGCATCAATCTGGGAATGTCAGCCAACCAAACCTTCTGTGTTAAGCTCAACAAAGTCCATCCTAGTAGTAATTTAGGAAAGCCAGGGTGAAAGTGTGATCATGTAAGACCTGTGTAGATGCATCAGCCTGTGTGCCGTGTTTAGCCGTGACTGGCAGGATTGGAGGGCAGCTTGTAGCCCCAGGAATTGTTAGGGCTGTGTTTCACTGTGACCGCTGCCGTAGTGCTCCCTGGCAGAGAATACGTGGGGAATGAAAAGCTACAAACTGCCCTGAGAGTCAGAATTAGATACATCGTCATTCCAGCAGGTCCTAAAGCACAGTTCGGTGTTTCGGCATCGCTAGCGTTGTTTCCAAGCGTCAGAAGTAAAATCTCCCTCAAGGTGACTTTATGTCTGAAAGCGCAGGGGCCCCCCACCTTCAGAGAAGAGCCCAGCGCTTGCCCCTGGTTTTTGCCGATGCCAGAGTGGACTCCAGCAGGTTGATATGAGCGGGCTGTTGTACTGGGAGCACCTGTGCATTCGAGGTGTGTGTGTGTACTCTGCCCTGCTCCTTGCTCATCTTCTCCCAGGAGGGAGCCGACACTGCAAGCTGCCGGTGCTGCCTTCTTCCCCAGCCAGACAGGAGAGCTGATAATGGTCCCACTTCAGGGATGATTTCACTTGCAACCCTCCAAGGCAATCAGGAGAGGAGGAAGACAAAAAGGCAGAGTGAAATGAAGATGCTTTGAAATAAAATCGGTCCCCCGCCTCTGTGCTTGTATCGTACCTTGGATCTGCCAACTCTGGCAATCCTCTTCATTTACATCAGTGCTAGACAGAAGAGAAGATGGCCAGTGAACTCTGGGAATAAAGCTTTTCTGATTCCCTTCTTTGCAGGCTTTCATTGTCACAGCAGTGTTAAGAAGCCGGTTGAAAAGGCCATGGCGTCTGAACTGCTCTGATAGAAATACTGCAGGCGTATGAATCGTGAGCGCTGCTTCTCCTTTCTTCTTTTTGTTTAGCCTGAAATGCGTTCTGCCCATTGCTCTGTGTTCTGATCAAATGCATGCAGAAAAGCTCGTGTTAGAGGCCTTTGAGTTACATGGTTTTACTGTTAAAATGAATACAGCCCGTGGCTGCCGGCACAGAGCTCGATGTGTGCTGCTGAAATGTAATAAACAAATGTACCAGGGACCATGCACACTTCAGCTCTCTGAGGACAGATACCTCTGTGCCTGGCATTTTGACTTGTGCACTGAAATAATGCCAGTATTTACTGTTTGCAGAGCCTTCCCATACTGATATCTTGTAGCTGAAGCTTTTAAAATTAATTGTAATTGGAAAGCAGCATTCTTTTCCCTCTACCTGAAATCAGTGCTGTCGACCTCCATTTTTTAAGCTGGATACCTTTACGCTAGGAATCTCAAGTGTTAAATTGTTTAAGGAATTAATTTTTCCCTTTAGGTATATGTTACCGAATTTGTTACTGCAATGCTAGAAATCTGTTTTCCCTCCTTCCAAAAATAAGCCATGAATTCAAGCATTAGCCAAGCATGCTAAAGCCATGCTTCGCAAGAGCATCTTGCCCTGTTAGCAGATCCAGTTGTTGGATTTACTCATTTAACAGAAGAGCTAGAGCTCTGCCCTTCAGAGCTAGAAAGCCAAGGTGCAGTTCTCAGCAGTAGTGCAAGGAATAAAGCAGGAAGTAAGGGTTAAACTTCTTGCCTAAAATGCCTCTGGACTGTTGGACAACTGCTCTCTGACCAGCTTTAGGGAAAGTCCAGTGAAAACTCAGCTGCTTTGATCTGCATCCTCGATGTTCTCCTTAGCGGTGGTGTTAGTGGGAGCTGGACTAGCCCTGCGTTGTGCCAGGTGAGTTCTTTTGCAGAATTTGACAGGGAATGTACTATTGAATCAGAATTTTCAGTGGAGCTTTACTTAGAGTTTCTGTTTCACAAAAAAGCCTTTAGGGTTTGAATTGAGATCGCTTGCATAGCTAATAACGTAGGTTCAAATAAATCAATAATGCATATAAAAATGCTGAAAGTATACGGATGCATGTTCATGATGGAGCTGGTAGGTCTTCAGGTAATAAAGATTTTAAAATTACTTTCCATTTTCAAGTTTAAAATAAAAGTGTTGCTTTTAAAGGAATTACTTAAGAAGAGTGCAGGACTGCATGTTGGTATGTGCCCAGAGTTGTGAAAATTGAACTCTGTGATAATTAAGCCCATTT